CCAGCAGTGCTTTTGTGTTTTACACTAATTTGATTGATTTCATCATCCAGCTCTAGTAAGTCATGACTTTAAAATATAACAAAACAAAAGAGATAATCTCAGCATTCAGCCCCACCAATATATTGCAGCTCTGCAATTCCACCTGGAAGAGTTCCCTTTTACTTCAGTCACTTCCTTCCTGGCACTTCACAGGAATCAAGAAATCTCTCTCTCTTGGCATTCCCTGTTTACCTGCTCAGCACTTCACTCACTAATCCAGCAGCAAGGTTAAAACAGCAACAGTGGAGACAGATTTAATGAAGGTAGTAAGTTGGAAGACTACAAAGGGAAAACAAGAATTTTCTGAATTTTTTTTAGCAGGACAGGTACTGATGCTCTGAAGGCGCAATATATGTTAGGTGCTTATTAGGAAGGTCAGGAACTCCCTCACTTCTTCCAGCTAAAGGTCACTTCACCTTTATCAATCACACACTCATCAATATAAACATCAGAGGGACAGGAAGAATTAATTTCCCAGTGCATCTCAAAATGATAATTTCTTCTGATCAGAACATTCATTCTGGCTAATACTTCCAAGATGCAGAAACCAGTAATGTTCCCTAACCACAAGAACTCCTTCCTCCTTTCCTCACAAGGACCAGTTTTGTAATGAACTGTCAAAAACCCCAAAACTATTTGAACACTTGAATTTGTTAGAAACAGAAACCAATAGAAGCAAAACATTTATATGGAAATTATGCCTTGTGACATTCCAACAATATAGAATAAAAGGTCAGTAATTCTGCTCAGCTTAGCATCTAGTAGGATCCATTTGCTTTCACACAAAGACTTTTGACTTTGCTCGTTTTCCTCTGTTTCAGAGCCAAGAAAGCTCAAGTGAGAGAGAAGGGAGGGCTCTGCCTCACATGAGACACCAATGGCAGTAGCAGCTCAGCTGCCAGTTTTCAGCTTTTCTGCCCTATTAGCATCAAGTTTCTAAACAGCATTTTCCTGACTCAGGATATTTACAAGACAGGAACTGGAATGAGAAATTGTTCTTTCATTACATATTGCAGGTAAAATTAGTTTTCAAATAATTCTGAAAACTCCAGGCACAACAATCCAAAAATTCCATAACAGCCAATCAGATCAAACTGTATCTCTGAAGAAAAGAGAAAAAAAGAAAAGGGAAACAAGAATGAATAGAGCAATAAATTCTCCCTGTGCAGAACATGACTAAAGCTGTAGACAGAGGTAGGCCTTTACTGCAAGGCTAAGTGTCACTGCTGCAGCACTGGACCACCTATCTCCATCTCACCCTCCAATGGGAAACAAGTCTCTTTTCCCAAAATTTAACTTACGCTGAGCTGACAAGTATTAACTGAAAACAATCCCCAGGACACTTCAGTCACAACACAAGTTTTCTGAGGCACACACAGCACCCCAAAGCTGGCAGTGTGTCTTCATATCACTCGAATTCTGCTGCTACAGAACCTACACAACACAGTCTAGCTGGTGGAACTCTGTGTGTCAGACATACTATCAGGCAAAAGAAAAAAAAAGGAAAAAATGAATTCCACTTTGCAGGTTTCACTTCATCTGTCAGGTACCCCATGTGATTACTGTAGTTATATTTATTGCTGGACACCCATGGATATGCATTAAATATAACAATGAACTACTTTATGACAACTACATTGAAACAATGGCAGGGAAATGAGCTACCAAAACGATGCAAGTGAAAATGAAAAGCAGAGCTTTGGTACAACAAAACTGGAAGAACATTCTCGGCTACAAAATTTGACTTCTCCGAGTTTTATCACAGTTTGGGCCTTATTTTAAACAAACTAACTGTCTGAAAATAAGTGTTTTTAAAAGGCTGTTCACGTATGCACCTTTCTCTTGCTTCTTGGCATAATTCCTGCCCTTTCCTCTTCAGGATCTTGGGAATGTGAAGAGGCTGAAGCCTGTACATGCCTGGCTTTGAAGTATCTGACTTCCTGCCTAAGCATATTTACACCCCTGGTACTTGCCAGACTGTACATCACCTGTGCCAGCTTCATCGCCTGTCATAAAATGGGTGGCTGGAATAACCAGCCAGTGCAGCTGCTTGCCCGGAGATGAGCAGAAACATGCCCTTCAGAATCCAAGCTCCAGAAAACAAAGCAATGACACTAAGAGCAGAAGAAATACAGAATAAGAAATCACTGCCTCTTCCTACTGCAGTCTTCCTCAGGTGTTACAAATGAGTTTATTGCCTCACCCCAAATTCCTGTTTTCCTCCAAGCTCAGCTGTCTCAAGAAAGACTTTTTGACAAGGCTCACTTTTTGACGTGTTAACTTTGACACTAACCAGAAGGAAACAAGCACTTAACAAGCAATGGTAAGAAAGAGCTCCATGTTAATAAAAACAGCAACAAAACTGAAGCAACTGACAATGGATATGTGAGGACAAGGCTCCATCCTGGAGATGGAGCTCAGTGTGAACAGAACCCGGACATGCAGGAGGGAGAGCGAGTCACTGCGAGGGACACAAGCACTGCCTCACCTTCCTCTTGTCCAATGAGGGTATGGCTACCCCATTGGAGCGGTTAAGGTCTGACACCAGCACCTTCAGAATGTTCTGAATCTACAGGAAGCGAAAGAAAAGGGGAAAGAGAAATGGCTCAGAGAAGGACAGAGAGAAAACATCAATCCAAGGCAGCCAAGGAACCAGCCTCGTCCAGCTCGTGGGAACCACACGCCTCAGCCCAGCAGCTCTGGGCACACCCAGGGCACCACTGGACAGCCTCCAACACCAGCTGCACCTTCCAGAGCAGGCAGATGCCAACTGCTGTAGCAACACCTCATATAGCACCTACACCACTCAGCTCTTACCCCAGCACAACCACTTCCAGCTCCGGTCAGACTGTCCAGAAAACCAAAGAAGAGGGACGTGGCAAATGATTTCAGAGAAAGAGACACTCACATTCTCTGGAGACTGCTGGTCATCAGTGGTGGGAGTCGCAGGTCTGCTGCTTTCTTTAGTTTTGCGTTTTTTCTTAGTTCCTGCAGTTGCTCCAGGGCTGTTCTTCTGCTGATATTCCTTCAGCTGTGAACAGAACAAGACAAATCTGAAGTCCAAACAAAATATGCCTTCTATAACCCCAAAAAAACCCTCAAAACTAACTTCACTGGTAAAAATACAGATCAAGTGTAAGGACAAGAGGAATGCTCCTCCATGAATTTATCAGTATGGGAGAAAAACAGGAATCAAAATAAGCCCAGAGAAGGCTAAAGTTAAGACCAAAGTGATGGGTTTATGACAAGAGTTGTAAACATTCAACTTTTGTTTACAGCCAATGCTGTTCCTGGGAAATTGTTTCACACTCTATAGTACAGCTAAAAGGAGATTGAAAGCACTGGTTTGGGGGATTTCAGGGTTATAAGTAAGAGCACTGAGGCAAAAGTAATAAAGGGCAATTAATCCTACATGCAAAGTGAGAAAGCACTGCCTGATAGTAATATTTTCCCCTCCATGGAAGATTTTATGAAGGACAGTTGCAATCCCCACAGCAGAAATTGCAACAACTGCAAACTAAGGGGAGAAACAATCTACAAATGATTTTTAATCGCATCCACTTCGCCCAGGAAGTGCCGGTCTGATAAGATGTAACTCGGATCCGGCCAGGTCTGCCGGCATTTCTGTGCAATTCCTGCACGCCCGAGCCCCAGACCCGGCAGCTGTTTATGCAAACAACGGCACCCCCGGCCCGCACACCCCGAGCAGGCACGGCGGGGCAGCGGGGCATGGAGAAGGACGGAGGACGATCCCATTATTGGTAGGATTTCAAAATGGAAGCCTGAACTGCTCCAGGACACTTTCCCGTTTCTGTGACTTTGACACAGAAGCGCATCCCGCCGGGACGCAGGCAGCCGGGCCGCCCCGAGGGAAAAAATACGGGGAAAAAACAGGGGAAAAAAGGAAAGGCGGGCGGGACACGACATCCGCACAGCAGCCCGGGGAACCCTCGCAGCACCGCAGACACCCAGGCCCGGCCTCGCCCCGGCCGCCCGCCGAGAAGGCCGGGCCGCAGCCCCGGAGAGCCGCAGCTCCCGGGCCCGGAGCGAGGGGGCGGCGGCAGCCCGGCCCGCGCCCCTCGGGGAGGCCGCGCTCGGCCCGGCCCGGCCCGGCCCGCGCGGGGCTCGCGGTGCGCGGCCGCCCCCCGCTCCGGCACGTCGTGTCCCGTCCCGCCCGGACCGCCGGCCCCTCACCTTCTTCTTGGCCGCGGCCAACCGGCTCTGCCTGCTGCCGTCCGCCATGTCCGCCCCGCGCCCGGGCCACGTCAGCCCGCCGGGAGCGGCGGCGGCGGCGGCGGCTCCGCCCCCGGCCGGCCCCGCTCCGCCCCGAGACACCGCGGGGTGACGGAGCGGGGCAGCCCGGCCCGCCGGGACACCCCGGCCCCGGGACACCCCGGCCCCCGTGTGACACCGGGCTCTGTCCCACTGCTGTAGTGACCCGACAGCCCAGAGCAAATGCCGGGAGGGGCAGCCCGGCTCCCCTCGCTGTCCCGCACACCCGCCTCGCGTCCCGGCCTTGGTGTCTGAGGCTGATCCCGCGCGCAGTGCAGGCGGCAGGCTCGTTCTGTGTGATCCCAAATCCTTTGACCTTCCAAGCGCGGCAGCAGCTGAGGCTCGGGCAGCTCCGGCTCTGGGATACGGCGCTCACAGGGACACGGCTCCTGCGGCGGGACGGGGCCTCCAGCGCCGTCCGAGCCTCTGTGCGGGACTCGGGGGAAACTGCGGGGCCCGGTGGGACACAGGGACAAGCGGGAGCGTGGGCAGTGCTCACCTTGCGAAAACAACACTGCAGCGGTGCTTAAGGGTAAACACTGGACATGGCACCCAGTGCCGTGGTCTGGTTGGCATGATGGTGTTCCAATACATGAGTGATTTTTTGAATTAGAGGTCTTTTCGAACCAGATTGATTCAATGATTCTGTGTGAGTGACCCCGAAATCTCCTGAGCCCCCGTCCCAGCTGAGGCGCGGTGCTGAGATGTCTCTGAAGCACCAAATGTCACCACCTCGACTGCGGCCCTCGGGGGACAATTGTGTCCTGCCACACCCAATGTCACCTGCAGCCCCGCCACGGTCGGGCCCGGCAGGGGACTACAACTCCCGGCGTTCCCTGTGGCGAGGGGACTACAACTCCCGGCGTTCTCTGTGGCGAGGGGACTACAACTCCCGGCGTTCCCTGTGGCGAGGGGACTACAACTCCCGGCGTTCTCTGTGGCGGAGGGATACGCCTGTCCGGTGTGGCGGGCGCTCCGGGCCTGCAGCGGAGCCCTCAGCCCTGGCCGAGCGGGTCCCGCCGGGCGCGGGCCGCAGCCCACCCCGCCGCCCGCCGCCGCGGGCCCTGCCCAGGAGGTAGGAGCCGTTCCCCGCTGCCCCTCCCCTCCCGGGCCGCGTCCTCGCCGCGGCGGGTGGCGGTACCGGCCCCTGACGCGGCGCCCTCTGCTTTGCCAGGGCCGGCGGCCGGCGGGGCGGCACGGCCGGATTCAGGGCACCGGTGAGTCCTGCGCGGGGCTGCCCCGGGAACGAGTCCCCTCGTTCGGGGGCTCAGCCCAGCCCGGTGGGGAGCGCTTTCCCTTGAGGGTTCCCCGGGTTAGCGCCGGCACCGCAGTTTGCACTGTGTCGTGCTGGGAGTTTCTTCTAAAAGGCACATTGTGATTTTAATTCTTTCGTTTTAATTTTTTAAATATATTTTATTTTAATTATTTTAATTATTTATTTTCACTTTACAGTGTAGCTCTAGTGTGGTTAGGTGTGGTATGGAGCACGCTAGTGTTATGTACACTGATGCACCCCCGCCCACCCGGGGGATATTTTTTTTCCTTTTCTCCTGTTTTATCGAGTGACATGTACGCTATTTTCACATTAGTGCTCCAGCATTGTAACATCGTACCCAGAGCTGAGTTCCTGCTACGTCTCTTCTGTGTTCTACAGATCCCATCTCCAAAGTCCTTCCAGCCTAATGGAGCCAGCGAAGAAGCCCTGCGGTGTGAAATCAAAGAGCTGAAACAGAAAGACCTTGCTCTAGACCAGGAAATTGCACAATTATTGTCAGAGTACGTCCTTGGCAAGCTCAGTGTTTACTTGATGCCTTAATTATTTTTGTTTTTAAAATAGAATGTGATCCAGGAATTGGAGCTGAGAGCTGACCTTCTGTGATGCTGTTGTTGGTATGGTGCAATGTTGGTTAGTGTTGTAAGTGATGGGACTTGTTAGAGACAAGAGGGAATTCTTTCCACTTGGTGTGGTAAAGCAAAACAAGTTTTACTGGGAGCTTGCATAAGAGGATATTTGTTTTAGCCTGGGTGTTCCTGCGGTAATTATGTGTTTACTGGGAACAGATAATTTTAGCCACTTGTTATTTGTTGTGAAAGACTGATATTTTCTAAGGTAAATGTGGTGCATAGGATGGAAATGGTAGAACAATAACGGCTGTTCCAGAACTCTTTTTCATTTATCCTCGAGGATAAACAAACCTAGCAACAGAACAAGAGGAAATGGCCTCAGGCTATGCCAGGGGAACTTTAGATTGGACATCAGGAGGAATTTCTTTGCTGAAAGGGTGATTAAACATTGGGCTGGGCTGGCCAGGGAGGTGATGGAGTCACAATACTTGGAGGTGTTCAAGAGATTACTGGATATGGCACGAAGTGCTCTGGATTAGTCAGTATGGTGGTGCTTAGCCAAAGGTTGGACTTGATGCTCTTGGGGGTCTTTTCCATCCTAAATGATTCTATGATTCTTATTTTTTTCCCTATATACAGATTAGAGATGTGTATCAAAGGAATTCACCACAGCCTACTCTTGTTTCTACTTGATTCTAGAACTTGGGTGCATTGGCTTTCTTGAGCTTGTGTAGATCTTCATGTTTAGGGCTTGCAGGAACTGCACTCTGCTGTGTTGAGTCTCTGCTTTTGAGGTGCCAGGCTTGGTGTCCCCGACAGCAGCAGGAAATCCCAGTCCCTCTGTGTCATTTGTGACCTTCCTGGTGTTATTTTACAGGGGCTACAGCCTGGAGGAACTGGACAAGCACATCTCTCTGCTCCATGAGTACAATGAAATCAAAGATGCTGGGCAGATGCTCCTGGGCAAGCTAGGTAAGAAAGGGAAAGCTGTTCAAGACCTTTTTAGTCAGTGTTTTCATACAGAAAGAAGCTGCTACCATGGAGGCAAAGCTTGTGTTACAATTCTTCACTTTTAAAAAGGTGTTTGGGTAAGCAGGAGGCACAGCTGCAAAACCTTGGGTTTCTTGGCTATAGGATGTGCTATGGGATAATTAGGGAAAGAAAACAGCACGTTTCTGACTCCCCTGATCTTTGTTTAATGAAAGCCATGCTGTTTCTTTATTTCCTAGCTGTTATCCGAGGGGTCACTACTAAACAGCTCTATCCTGAGTATGACCTGGAGCTCAGTGACTAGTCCTGAACCTGGAGGCTGCCATGTCCTGCAAAAGTGACTGTCACTGTGCCATTACACATTGGTGTCATCCTGGTTTAGGAGAGACAGAAAGTGGAAAAGGAACCTTTGGAAAAGGGATGTAGGATTTTAGATAATTTCATGTACTACTTGATCAACAGGATTTTTTTTTTTTTTAAGGTTGTAGTTCAGGTTGATGTTGAGCCTCTTCCATGGAGCCTTTGATTCCCTACAGTATCCAGGGGCTGTTTGTTTACTGAATGGATAGAGGAAGTGAGGGCATACAAATGTGCAATGTAATAGCTGCTTTGAAAGGAAAACCCTCAGAAGAAAGGAGGGAAGAAGGCAGAAATTGTGGTGGTTTGGGGGTTTCTTTTGTTTTATCAACAAATCCAGAGAAGTCTGGGTGTTCTGCATTTTTGTACTTAACTGCTCTGGTATCTGGAGGTTTTGTATCATTTCTGTAGTAAATGGCAAAATATAAAGTTGTGTTGACTGTTCACTCTGAATAAAGCAGCCTTCACATTTGTCAGTAAATCACTTTAAGAGCCTATAAAACAGTGCATGAACCTGGGAAAAAAATCTAAAACTATATTGAGACAGGAACTATTCAAATGTTTTCTCCAGGAATGTGCAGGTGCAGAATCACTTTGCTCTAAGTGCAGAGTCGTGGTGGGAGTGAGTGCTGTGCTGGACAGTGCATGATGATGTTGGGAGCACGAGTGTTTCAATGTCACTGATAGGGCTGAGGGTGACTGCACAGACTAAATTTGGCTGCTTTGGGCACTTGGAAGTGATGAACTGCTCTGCTGACTGCAGATATAGTGTCCCTTTTTCACTCAGACTTGATGTCCTTCTGCCCATTTTTACTTCCCAAGACCTTCCAGCCAGTAAGTTTCCCCTGTGGTCTCTAGTTAGGCCCATGTTGCAGTCTGCTTATTCCTTCCAAATTTGAATCAAATTAATCTATCTTCATTGTGATTGGAAGCCTGAAACCAGTCACAAGGCTGCTGCCGAGAACAGATAATTGGTTTTACACTCCTGGCTGTGGATGTGGCACAGAAACATCACTAATAGTGTCTTGTTTTGCCTTAAAAGCTGTGGGGAGTGGTCTCAAGCAGGGGGACAGAAAGAGCCTCTATATTCCATGATTCATCCAAGTAAGTTTCTGTTGATGTGCAGAATATTTCCTGTGCCCAGACCAGAGTGGATTCTCAGAGGACACGTTCACACCCCTCCCCAGCACATACCCCTCTGAGACCAAGTGTGGAACACTCATGTGTTTTGGAGTAGTTTTAAGGGGAGGAAAAAAGGCACAAGGTGGCAAGAACTAGGAAATGCAAACTCTGTTACTAAAGTTGCTGTTTTGGCTGGTATTTCCTGTCTGTGTACAAGGACTGGCTCAGCGTTTGGAGTGTTCCAACCAAAATGTTCCTCTGTTAGTGACACAATTGGAAATTGCTTTTGCAATAGGAAGTATGTATGGAAATTGTTCAGTTTTTGTGAGGTGTGAGCTGAGGGGATGAAGTACAGTCCATTACCAAAGTTACTGAAGGTTGCTCAAGGAGTGAGAAGTTCATGTTTTCTTCCCCACTATGTAGGAGCACTGGGTTAAAACCTGCAGCTGTAGCTGTGCAAGTGTCCTGCTTATGGCTGCAGGGATGGGTTTACGCTTCAGGTAGCACTGGACAGGTGCCCAGGGAAGGTCCCCTGATCCAAATCCCTTGTCCATGGAGGATGCGAACACCCACAGAACAACCCAAGGACAGGGCACAGTGTCCTTGGGGAATCTCTGCTGCTGGCACACTGGCTCTGCCAGGCGGTGGCAGCTGCATTCCACAGCTGTTCTGGCTGCTCCGTGCAGCCTAGAGGAACCCAGAACTCAAAGATTCCAGGCACTAAATTAAGGACGCCTGGGATGCTTCAGGACAGGACTGCACACTGCCACGGAGGTACTTCATCATGGCCCCTGTGACTGCCCCTCCCAGAGTTACTCTTGTACCTTTATGGCTGTCACCTGGAGGATGAAATATGCTGGCCTTTGTCCAAGTCCAGGAGAAGAACAGAATAAATCTGCTTTCCATGAATAAATCTCCAAACTCACTAAGTATATAACTGGAAAACTATTGAGTGCAGTAATGGTAAATGTAATTCCAGACTTTCAACTTCAATTTCAAAAGTGTGTTTCTGCAAAGTCAGACCCAGCTATAATGAGCTAACAGACTAAATGGTGGTGTCACAGTGTTTACAGTTTCCCAAAGGGAAAACCTGCTGTCTGCAAGGAGCTGCTGCAGAGGAGGATACCAGAGACCATTGAACACCCGTGGCTCCTCAGGAAAAAAAGGGTAAAATAAAGTAGCACTTGCTTGGTTTTCTGAGCCAAGAACCAACCTCTTCCCCGTGAGATTATTTTCCATTTTATTTTTTGTGTATCCTGTGCATTAGTCCACATTATAAGCCACTTTTCATCACATGCCTGTTCTGGATAAAACCATTTCCTTGCATTGCTTTGGGTAAGCTGTGTTTTCTCCTGTACATCCCTCATTTAGCCTGATTTTGAGCTCTCATGTGTCTGAGAGCAGGGCTAATGGAAAGAAAATACTCCAGGAGAACAGGGAAAATAAAATCCATACAGCAGATAAGTTATGCTGCTAGTTGCAAGGAACAAATCTGTGCAGTCAAGGGAATACAGCTTTCTAAGACACTACTTCCTGCTGCTAAACAATTTGGGAATGGTTTTTAGATCCCTTAGCAACCTAATGTTCTCAAAATCAACAGGAATTTTGGCACAGATACCTCCTGTTAATGAACTGTTTGTGATGCTTTAAAAAAAATTATACACCCTGTCACTGAACAAAAAAAAAGCCTCTGATAAAAGTCATTTCAAGGAAAGGGTGGAAGTGAACTGCAATTAACCTCTTTCCTTCTGCTGTCCATCACATTGCTGGCACGTCGCTGTCGTATTGTACTGCAGGGATTGCTCATGGACATTCCTGCTGAGCATGCTCAGCTGTCCCCATCCAGCTGATGAAGAGGACTCTTGTCCCTCCCCGTGTGCCAGGGTTTTCTCCAGCTCTGTTTCCACTTTGAGCTGACAGTTCCGAATTGCCTCCTGGATGCTCTGCAGGTTCCACTGAGTTCTCGGGAGAGCGTCATCCACCGTGAAAACCCCGTCGCGAATTCTCCGCACTTGTGTGCACACGGCAGATGATTTCAGCTCCAGACCAATCTCATGAACCATCTTCCGGAGGTACTGCTGAGTCTCATGCAAGCAATGGATTTCTAGGAGGACAGAGACATTGCTTCAGAGCTTTGACACAAGTTCTGACATTGTAAATCCAGACATCACTCACAGTTACGCTGAAAGAACTGGTTTGGCAGAAGACACTAAGAGCATGCTATGATTTTCTGGAATACTGCACGGTGTTCCACACCCTTCCAAAGTGAATACTTTAGAAAACTAAACCTATAGATACAGAAGAGTAATGTAGAAATTTGGGTATTTCAAAGGGGATAAAAAAGCACCTTTTTTTTTTTTTTTATAAGACAAATAATTTGTGATAGAAAGCGGATGGGCTACAGGGAAACAAACCACACTTTAAAAAAACCCCAAAGCCCAGCACTGAAATGCATTATACTGAAACACTGAGCTAAGAATTTCCCCCATAAAGTATTCATGATGCAAATTTTCAAGCCCTGGGCTTAGATCTGAACTGGCAAGGCAAAAGTTATGAGCTGGCTGGATAAGTTATAAGTTGATAAAAAATTCCCACCAACTTATTTTGCATTAAATAATGAGTAAGAAAATGAAGTTTACCAACTTATTTGCCACAATATATACTCAGAGCTCCCCAGTACATTCTGTTCAAGTCCTACCTAGCTGGAATTCTGGAAGTGCAAACTGGAGGCATCGGATTGCTGTGATTATTGGGGGGCTTTTTCCCATGGGGCGAATCAACCCTTTGACAGCCAGCTCGTATGCCTCTTGTGTTTTCATATCAATATTAGAATACCTAGAGGAAAAACAGAGAGCAGCAGAGACACTTAGAACTTTGCTCCAAAGAGATTCAAAATATGTAGATCCCAGTAAAACACAGATGCAACTTTTATTCTTAAAACCATCCAGTGAGTTTTTGCAGATATGTGGTGTATGTTCTATCAGTAGTGTAGCACAGTATGGGAGGGAGGTACTTGGTCACGTCTACAAGTTATTTTTGTCAGCCCTGATATAGCAGACTGGATCTAAACCAGCAGATTGGAGATTTTGGGATACAAGAAGGACATTTAACTGCAACCTCTCACCAGAGCACTGAGCACTCAGAGTAACTCCTCTCTGCCTCTTGCTAGCACTCCAACCTTTACAGACTGATTATGGGAAACAAAATCCTCTCATTTGTTTTGAAGACCAGCACATGGCAGTGGGATCAGATCAGCTCATTGCCCTGGTGGATACGCACATCAGCAGGGCCTTTTGATTTGTCCCTTGAATGACAGCAAGAATCCGCTCCAGCTTCTCCCTTGTGATATGATCTGCAAATATTAAGGCAAAAACAAAGTCTCAATTATCCATGCAGAAACTGGAAAGTCTGAAAAGTGCCACTGAGGTATTGCTGTCCCTCAGGTGGGCAGTTACATCAAAAGGGGCTGATGAGAGCTGAGGGGTGGCCTTTGCAAAGTCATTCCCCTGACTCTACATGGAGCAGCACAGAGCTGGACTGCCAAGGGAAGAGTTATTTTGCTTAACTGATTCCAAAGTGTTGATGCTCCAGTTTTTTTTTTTTTCTTTTATCTTTTCATTCAATGAAATCTCCTAACTGCTATCTCCAAGTGTGATTGACATGCAAGATGTGGCTTTTGTCATTGTGCAAGTCACCGATTAAATGCTTTAATCTGTAGTGTGCTGTTCCATTAAAAAAAAAAAAAACACATCAAATCAGTTTCTTACCAAATGTTGTCTTCTCTATTAAATTTCCTGTGTCTGAGAAGTCATCAGTGGCTTTACCAAAAAGCCCACCAACAGTATAAACCTGGAAGAAGAACAAAGAGTGCAATTTATTAAAAAAATGCTCCAAGCAATTGAGCAGCAGTACTGCACCATGCAGCTGCTAGAAGTGCAGGCTATCAGAGTTTTATACAAAAAGACAGCAGCATCCTGTGCTCAAAAGGCCACAAGTAGACGCTCATGTGAAGGATGAAATTCTGGACCCTGTAAAGCTCTCAAAAGCATTCCTAGGTTTGAGACTTAAGTGCAGAATCAGCATCACAAGGCTGGTCTGCGACACTGAGGCAGGATCAAGTGTGCAATGGCACTGTGGGGCTCCGTGGCCTGTTCAGAGCCAGCACCTACCTTGGTCAGGTGGCAGTTGTACAGGTCAGTGAGCAGCTTGTTCCCATGGCCAATGCCAAGCACTGAAACATAGAAAATGGGGAACCTGTTATTCAGCCTCACAAGAAGTCACTGATGTGCATTTACACAGCACTAAACACGCCACTCTTGCCTCCTGGACAGGGCTGTATCTCCTTAGGAGTCACATCTG